ATTCGCGACGCATAATTATTATATTATTATCAATCATCTGCTATACGCTAAACGAACAATTTACTACTTAATTGTATTTAAAACATTCTAGGTACAGTCGTCTGCACATTAAGATAACTAAGCAACCAATCGATCGATTTTCACTTTATGGCCCTTGAGATAAAATTGAAAATCTATTTTCTTAATGTGCTAGCGTCCGTACATATAACTTCTTTATTTTATTTTAGGTGCATATTTACAACCAGGCAGTTTTGGAAGCACTGCTAAACACCAGTACCTCAGTACTCCTAGATCGGGTGGATCCTCATTCTAAAGAAGGCGACTTCCTCGGTTCTGGTCCTCCTACTGTGTGGAAGCTTCCCTTCAGGATCGACCAGCTGCAATATTACGACACCTCATACATGTGTGACCCTTCAGCTAAGAGCAAGTGAGTAGTCATTTGATAAACATTTAATAGAAAGAAACTATTGGACCAAATAAATTCACTTAATAATCATGGAAAAAGTTTGATTAAATCTTAAAAAAAAATCTGTAATACAAATAATTATATATTTTTCTGAACAATACTAATGTGTCCAATTTCTTCTTATAGTGACACATTTGCTTCACAATATGATTCCGACCACGAGCAGTGGGACGAACCGTTGAAACGTCGATTTAGTTCAGCACAAACCGACACCAGTAAAGCGTCTGCGAGCACACAGACGCTCATCACAGTGCCATTCTGCAGAGACCCAACGCAACCGGTCCCCGTGCTACCGCCCGACGAACCAGACAAATCAACCGCGTCAAAATCCGCCCGTAAAGATGGGTCGGCCAATAGACCCGCAGTATACAAGAAAAAACCAGGCCAAACACCACAATCGTACTACCAGCCACCAGAACCTTGGGCAGGAGTACGGGACGACACAGATATCCTTGAAGACGCAGCACCAAAACTACGAAAGTCTGGATACAGCAGGAGCCTCTACGCTATTGATAATGAAGCCCAAGATCCCATTATGGAACTGCAAGCTATGGCTAAATCCACCAGCGATATGAACGAGGATGATCCTCCGTTTAATTTCCAGGCTATGTTGAAGAAAACTCCACGAAATAGGGCGTCTATGAAAAGGTCCAACGAGTTGGGTAATGATTTGGAAGAGAAGCAGGTGGTGACTAAGCATATTATATCACCGAGCAAGGCAAAACCACCAGCAGCACCGAAAATGCAGGCACCGACTCCTCCGCCTGGTAAACCTCCTACTCCTTCAACCAAACGTACTGCCCCAACACCTCCACCCTGCAGAATGGCAGCAGAGACTCCTCCGCCGAGTAGAGTAACTCCACCTCCGCAGAGGTCTCCAAGTAAAGAGTTCATTCGCAAAAATTCAAAGGACCTCATTATAGCTGCTTTGAAAAAGAGAGATTCACAAACCGATCTGATCAAATCCGACGACAATAAACTGGAAAACGAGAAGGTGGAGCTAGCGCCAGGGATCACAGTCGAGGGTACCGTCACAGATTTATAAAAGACAAATAAAATTTCGTAAAAAATATATTTAATCTCCATTGCATTGGAAGTCCGCATACATTATTATGGCGTTACAATATTAATATTGTTTTGACAATTTAGTTTTAAAGCCATACGTGTTATATAATCATAAGAGCTTTGTTAATTTCTATATTATATAATTTTAATCTCAATAGAGTTAAGTATATTAAATACAAAAGATGATCTTAAAGCGAAAATATGGCGAAACATGTGTGACACGTGTGCTTAAACACATTTATACACAATATTAAGGTTTCATCACATCGTAAAAAAATATATCGAGTTTTATATTAAACCTTAGAGTTACTTATCCGAAATTGCTTTGGTAACTTATTATATTCGCTTATAAACTAGAGTGTGGTGACATGGGCATTTATATTGCCATAGAAACACAGTGTTCAATGGTCCGTGTATTACATTAAATAAATAGCATTTATTGGTGAGCGATACATTATATCATAAAAGCATTTCATTTGAAGCATTTGCCACTAGAAGATAGAAGAAATTTCTTAATGGATCTATGATTATAATGAAGAATTAGATTTCTAGATAATGCTTAGTACTTATATATCTAAATGTATCGCTCATGTAGAGGTCCTGTACGTATGTTTAATTTGCTTTTAAGCTCACATTGTTATTCAAAGCTCGATCGAATAATTTGTACAGTGTGATATGTTCCTATAAAACTCCGATTTAGATTACAAAATATTAGATTTTAAACTCAGTTTATATTATTTCAGTCCATTTTTTCAGCTAATCGAGATATGCATAGTGAGATATCCGAAAATAATAGTGTTGCCTATTTATATAACATAAATTCAAATTAGAATTGTCCGAAATCTGGATTTACGGTAGTAATATTCATTTTAGGTTATTTTTAAGTACCAAATTTCAACAGAAATAATCTAAACTGAGCTTAATTTACAAGTAAAGTAAAATATAACTTTAGATTTCATTTTTATTTCTAAACAAATGAAACTCGAGAGCATCCAGTCATGTATTGAGCAATGAATATATTTAGAATTTGTTTTTTCTTTATTTAAAAATTCTTTACAATAAAAAGTATTGATACCAAAGAGGTTCATTTGAAAGAAGAATAACCAGCTTCTCTTCAAAGTAGGTATGTTTTACAATATTATAATAATGATAATGTTAGACCACCACAAATAACTGCCATACATTTAAAAATCACTTGGAAAAAATATAATTCCTACAATAAAGTACCAAAATATACGTTTTCACTTTAATCTTTTCCATATATAATTTTCCTCTTCATAATTTAGGCCACGCATTTTAAATCGTATATTTTTCTGAAATTTATATATATATCTCTAGAAATCACATCCTAAAGTTATTGCCGAATATTAATAATTGACTTAAAAACTATTTTTTGAATTAGAAAAATACGTCGAAAATTGTTATAAAAATATTGATTGCTTATTATGTTTCTAACTTACACTTAAGTTTTAAAATATCAGTCAAAGTGTTATGTTGAATGGATTGTACAAAATATTTGATTGAATTAAATATTTCGTACTGTTATCGCTCTGAGTAATTTATTTCCCCATTCCCTATAAAAAAGAATATTCCCTATAAGAAAAAGTAATAGAAGCGACTGTACTTTTGTTCATTAGATGTCGCTACTGTGGTCCTCTCGTTCTTCGACCAATAGGGAATTAGCTAGTGCCACTTCATTGGACATTCAATATTTGACAGCTAGTGATTGGACACAAATGTTTTTGGTAGATGAGTGTCACGGTAGCCCCTATTGCATTATGTATCTGTAGGCTGAATCAAAAGTGTTTTCAAGTAATTTGAGGTATTGAGATCTAAATTTAGCTACTTTCACCGTTTTTGGACTACTTTTACTTATAGTAGTTATAACGCTATTAATGTTATTAACATTACTTTACTGGATCTGATCTGAGGTAGCATAGAAGTTAAGATGCCCGATCTGGGATTTCTAACCCAATTCCTGCCAGTTTTCTTAATAGTCCGTCAGACGGCGCGAGTGCGTCGTGATACTGATTAGTTAGATTACTAGGCGGCATTTTAGACTCAATGGTATTACTTTGAATTCTAATTTGGTGTATAATTATATTGAATTATTATTATTCAAATGTAGGTATGTATCTAAAACAGCGATAGCAGTAAGAACATTTAAGATATGGACGCTTTTAGTTTTATATGAAATTATGCTTTATAATTACAACTAATTACATATAGCCAAAAATTATAGTATGATATATTACCATAACAACTTACATTAAATTATTATTATTTTCTGGGATTATATTGACTTAGAATACGAAATGTAATAGTTTAGTTATTTATTTCATTAAAATCAATTAATTTATGGCGGTTACATTACTAGAAACCGTGACTTCATTAATTTGAGATCATAGCATACTTAACGTAATTTCATTAATAAATATAACCAAAATACGTAACTAATTAGTAGCCGAAGTTACCCTAAAAATAACCAAAAAGGTTGATACATGGTTATACTTTTTGCAGGATACTTCCAAGTTGAACGACCAAGTTTTATGTATATCTGTGGTCTTCGTCAAATCGAAGTGTTATCTATTATCTTACAAACGTCATGGACGATGCAAAACAAAATTAAACCCAAATGGATCCTTTCACATGGACTTAAGAAATACCACTTAAAGTTCAAAATCAAACATTCCATAACTTAGAATAAGTGCAAAAATAAAAAGTGCACATTACTGACCATGTGGTTGTGGAATTATTGACTGGCCGTAAGTTAGGGCTTTAAAAACATTATGCCCTAACTTTATAAGGTGTTAAAAATATATGTATAATAAAAAAGTAAAAAGAAACTTATTATACTAGTGTTGAGGTGCGATAGCATCGATTATGTTAGACAAAACATTAAAAAAGTGCTTTGTTATCTAATCATTAAAACCGTACATAAAATTAATAAAATAAGGTTGATTTACGGCCATTTTCTAAAACCTATCTGTAGATTTGCTTACTGAGATAGAATTTTGACACATTTTGCATACTGGAGACATAATGGAAATTATGTCAAATGGCCGTTAGTCCAACAGGATATGAAAAGGTACTATTCATGTAGAATTAGAGAACAGTCGCTTAATTTGCACTACCCATTACATACACTACAATGATTCTGTTTCAAATCCACGTAATAACATGTTAAAAAAGTACTCTTTCCATACCCCTATCGAAGTAGAATATCAGACCACGACCTGCGACAACGTGGAATTTTTTATGGAATAATAGACACACTAACAACTGGATAACTTGACAGTAGGCAATCAGCCCTATTCTAGAGCTATAATAGAGGGCTTGGTAGAGTTTTTCTTACGGTTAAAGTAATCGAAACACGTTCGATGTTCTGATTACTTAGTCCATTGGAGCTGGCCAATCAGAGCGCCTAACGGGTACTCGCACTCATAAAACAAAGTCGTACTAAGGCCTCTGATTGGTTGATTAATTAGAGGCGGCCAATCAGAGCGCCAATTGCGGTCTCGTTTCAATTACTTTAAACATAATACAAACTTATATAAGCCCTCAGGTTTAAAAATATAATGGTTGGACTCGTAAGTCCTATAAAAGTGAGCCCTTGCATAAAATTACATGTTGAACAAAATGAAATATTGTAAACCAAGAATAAGGGACTGATAAACCAATTGCTACAATTCAAAAATTCCTAAATAGTATTAAAACTGACCTCATTATCATTTGGAGAACGATTTAAAGAAATTCCAGATTTCTTAATCTATTTCGTGAAGACTTTCTAACATAATGTTAGACTAGACTATTATAGAACCTTTCCAATGTACAACCGACAAAGTTGGCGGTCGACCATCGTTAGGCGATATTCACATGCACTCAATACGAGCGATCACAAGGAAAACAAGGCGGTTGATAGCGAGCTTGCCACAGGATTTTTTTAAAGTGTACCACCGTAACCTATGCCGATAGTCCCTATAGACTATTTTTTTTTTCTTTTCAAAAATAATCCCGGAAATTCATACCTTAATTTTCCAATATTTATCTTTGATCTTTTCTTTCTTTAAACGAGTAACTGAGTGACATTTGGTTCATTCATTTGAGTGAGTACCGCATGAGCTTCCACCATCACAACCAAGGAGTTCCGGGCCTCCTCGTGTGGTACTCCATGGGTGCGAGTTGCGTGGGTGTACCATGCCCCTGTAGATGGCAGCACTGATATACACCACTTGCATGAGAGCCTGGAAGTGAGATAATTACTATTACAGACACGGCTGCCAACCAAGGAATCTCATATTGAATTTCCGGGTCAGGTAAAGTATTATTGAAGGATTATTTCCTTTGAGGAGTCTGAAATTATGACGGGTGTATGGCAATAGACTCTTTCCTGTCCCCTATTACGTAAAATTGTTACTTGATCAAAAAATTAAAAAAATGGTGTTTTATTGTGCATGTACACTCTGCCTACCTCTTCAAGTATTAAAAGGTGAGGCATTATGTTAAGTAAATATAAAAGGAAAAACTATTAACCTGTTAGTAACATGCCTGGACTTGACATGTCTTCGTCGGTAGCCCCAACTGTTGTACACTCGAGGACAAAACGGGCAAGGGAATGATGGATCTGTAATTCAGTAATAGTTAGTATTTATTTTATTTAAGTTTATAAATTATTTGTAGATAGAAGTTGTGATAAAAATTCTACATATTTCATGGTTTCAAATCTACACCTTGTATATACAAACATACCAAAACATGTTGCTAAATAAAAAGAAATATGCACTTGTCTATTTTCTTTGTATATTTTACTAAATAAAAATATTAATAATTCTCGGATGACTATTATATGGAAGTTATATATTTTATATGGAAGAAAACACTGGAACAGCCAAGAGATAGCACTCGAGCAAGGCACATAAACAGCTAGCAACATAATAAATTATGTTTGTATGTAATCTAAATTAAACTAGAAAATTATTTACCAACGACATCACTTTCAAAACAACATTTTATTAATTAAAAATAACAAAAACAAATACCTTTACAATCAGTAGACACCACATTCAGGTTCTCCGTTTTTATACTGAGCGACTCAATCCTCGTTCCGCTTTGCAGTACGGTCTCAACTTCTTTATCAATCTCAATTATTTCTTCCGATGCATCTCCGTTATTAAGTTTCTCATTCAAACATGGCTGTGTACTACTCACTTCGCTTTTATCAATTCTGTCACTCACATTATGTACTTTCTTATTGAGACAGTTTTCTACGGTAAGTTTCTTCTCCGTTGAATCTTCTAGTAAAGCTATTTCCATATCATTTGTGTTGTCCCCAGAATATTCCGTTAACAGTGATTCCACTGGTTCAATTTTTAGTACAATATTCTGTAAGAGATATATTTATTTTACATTTGATATAAAACTTACTGGGTTTTTCTTTTCAGTTCATTTATTAACTGCTTTGACAAGTCAACAATGTATGTAATGTATATTAGTTTTGATTGTTGTTTCGGGTCTGGGTATTACTGTCATGTGTATGTGAACTTGTTTGTTTGTAAACGCACCCACGACACAGGAGAAAATACTTCAGTGGGGCAGCCTGCAGCGGTTTAAAAAAATTTGCCTCATCATGTCAAAAGTATGTGCCGCATCATCGCTGGCCACCAGGCGAGATAGTTGTCAAACGTTGGCCAATCAAATATAAAAAAATTGTAAAACCCCCAACACAACAAATAAACCAACCTTTAACTATGCAGTCAAAACAAATTTAATCTTATTTTAAGATTTGACTGCACAGTTGGCGCGGTGGTAATTCCCGCACGGAACAACTCTTTGTGTGATCCACAGATTGTTGTTCCGGGTCTGGGTGTCATGTGTATGTGAACTTGTATGTTTGTAAACGCACCCAAGACACGGACAGGAGAAAATCCTAGTGTAAAAGAATAAAAAAAAATTACATAAAAATATGAACAAATACAATGAGTTTACTTACAGATTGTTTTCCACTATCAGAGCTAATCTTGTGTACGGTTTCCGAATCAACTGGCACACACTTTTTGCATTTATTATTGTTGTCCGAGTCCCGCTTTCTCTTCTTTGACTGGGCTCCTGATTTCTGAAAATAAATATTACACACAATCAGGATACTGTTTAACACTGACAAACAAAAATTTATTTAATGGTAATCAGATCAATTTTATCATTAATATCTGACTTTGTTTTCCTCTCTAACCTTTATCTCTGTTCCAAATTTCAACAGGATCCTTTCCGTCCTTTTGATATGACTGAGTAACAATTATAGATGATATACACACAGAAACTTTCGCATTTTTTATATTGGTAAGATGTATAAATTATACATTACAATGTGTATGTACAACTTTTACGTAAGACTAAGTTATGTTGATAGTATTTTTCAACTATTCTGAAATACTTACATTTTGCTTTTTCTCAACAACATCATCGAGCACGGCTATGTCCGTATCATTTGTATTTTCTCCTGAACAATCAGTCAATGGTGATTCCACTGGTTCTAGCTTTGGCACTAAATTCTGCAATGGTAATTAGATAATTACGATTTTAAAACAATTTTTCATTAGCTTATTATATTTTTTTTAAGAATGTAGGATTTTCTCTGGTGTCGTGTGTGCGTTACAAACATACAAGTTCACATACACATGACGCCCAGACCCGAAACAACAATTTGTGGATCACACAAAGCATTGCTCCGTGTGACAATCGAACCTGCTACATGTTACATGGCAACCAGTTGCTCAACCACCGCACCAGTCGTGCAGTCAGTACAATTTAGTTTAACTGACTAATTTAGACAGGTAGATCAATAAAGATTGTATTATTGTGCTTCTCAGAAAGCAAGTGAAAACATTGATTTTTGTATGATCAACTTGACAAACATTTTATCTAGTCAGAACCCTCAAAAATCTAACTGTAAGTCTAACCAAGAATATGGTATCCCTTAGCAGGTTGCGAAGGTCAGAATGCAGTTACTTTGAACAGGGTGTCAATGGAACACACACGAAAAATGCTGTCAGGTGATAGTAAAATACAAGTTTTGATTTCATAAAAGTGTGGAATTAAATGTTATAATCAACTGCTCAAGGCTGATGTTGCATGAATAACATGAAAATAAAAATAATTTAACTCGTCGAGTACCGGTTTTGTAGACACAATTATAGAACAATAGGTTGTGGTCACCGGTGACCGCTTGGTGTTTGACAGTTTAACTCGTCGAGTACCGGTTTTGTAGACACAATTATAGAACAATAGGTTGCGGTCACCGGTGACCGCTTGGTGTTTGACAGTTTAAATAACAATTGAAATACAATATGACAAAATAACATCAAGCCTTTTATTCCCGAAGGGGTAGGCAGAGGTGCACATTATACCATTGTACAATGTAACACCCACTTTTCACTATTTATGTTATGAATCCCATGTGAGGGTGAGCCTATTGCCATATACGGGGCACAATTCCAGACTCTGTGCGACTACTGAGAATTTTTTAAAACTCAGTAATACCAACCTGGGAATCGAACCCGAGACACCTTGCCTGGCAGCCGCACTTGCAACCACTCGGCCAATGAGGCAGTCAATTAAACAATCATCAATTTAAATAGTAAAAAAAATTGAAACTGTAAGTACAATTTCTTTTTAGCAGCTTTTCAGGAGTGTTCCTTCGGACTTAGTTCCAACCTCAATAAGTGGTTAAGAAATAACCAGGATAGAACATGTTAAGTGTAAATTATTTATGGTATCTTACATTTGATGCAGCCTCTTGTTTGCCCTGTGCATATACACACTTCTTACATTTACTGCTACTGTCTTCATGCTCACTTTTCTTACGTTTTTTTGGCACCGTACCCCCAGGAGTTTTCTATAAAATAAATATAATTTTAATTTAATTTAGATAACAAAATATTCTTGTAAGAGTAATAATTACAGTCTTAACGGATTACACAATTCTGGTAACCAACAATAAATATTATCAGCAAACTAATAAATAAAGTAAGTCTACAAAACGCCAACTTACATCCTCTTCGCGTGAAGTTTCACTGCCTGTAGAAAGACCACAGATTCTCAATGTTTCTGCAGTCTTCAAGAGTATTGGCAAGAATTCCTCAGTCACATTCACCTCCCCGTTGTACATAAACGTCAGCAGCGTACGCAGAGAGGCCGTACTGATGTCATGAAGCACTATAATTGGATCCTTGTGGGGGTTTTGCTACGAAAAAAACGTGTGGGTGTATGAGACTAAAACTGCGTTGGACTGCCATGTAAAGGCAATATAAGAACACTTGACTAACTTACCTGAAATATTGTCCTAAAAACTGAACTATTCGCTGACAATATTACTTTATGAGCCTTAAAACTATGACCCTCTGAGACCAAAGTAACATCCGACAAGCACTCGTCTTTGAATAATTCTTTTACGTTGAACAAAATGTTGCTCTGATACCCGTTCCATTTTAAACTTATTTCTTGATTCGCCATAATGTGTCACTCAGTTAACATAAGGAAATTGGATTATAGTATTCTAACAAAGCAAAATAAATAATAAAATGATACGAAACGACAAACGACGCAAAATCAGCTTGATTGACAGAAAACAATACCACAGACTGCCTTCTCACTATAACAGACCACAGAGTAACAAACTAGACATAAACTACAACAGTGCCAACATTATTAATCTTAAAAATTATGAAATTGATTATTTTTCAAAAATTTATCCACGGACTATTTTAAAATTATACTTTTAATTATCAATTTAAATATAAACATTAATAGATTTCTTAAACTCCGAAGTTAAAATAGCCGAAGGTTAGGAAGGAAGGAACCTTCGGCTATCAGTCTACCAATAAAATAAAAATAATACTAAAACGGCGGTAAACGTTATGCCTTTCAAAAAAGTTTTTACAATATTTCTACATATTTTTCCAAAACTTTATAGTTTTGAATTAAGTGTTCATAGCTGAATCCTACTCATAATTATACAAAGTGGAAGTGGCATTAAGAATTTCAAATATTTATTCTTATTATGCAATGTTGAGGTAAGTATGAGTGCCTACTACGATGACAACGTAACAACCGTATAAACATTACATAGAACTTCAGTGTGTACTACTAACTACAAGTATGAAGTAGCTAGGTACTTAATACATATATCACATTGATACAGTTTTGGGGCATTACCAGGTACAGATAGTTATGTAATATGTAATAAATAATTTAATTGTGCTGTAGAACCTAAGGGCACGGTAATATTATCATACAGTATGGTTACTAAGCCGTATGAGGTGCGTACCTATACATGCGTTAGGGCTGCTGGTCTAAAGCATTTTAATTACATTTTCCTACTATCTGTTTCTATTTCGTTTTGTGATTGTAGGTACTTAGATATCCTTTTTTTATAAGTATGTAGGTATACCTAAACAAATAAAATACTTTGTATATTGATTATGAAGTGTTGAATAAAAATGCGTTTTGTTTTTTGATTGGTAGCTTTTACTTTTTTTTAATGTTTTTATTCGAAAAACTAATCTAGCAATTTCTAAATTTGAAATAGAAACTATTTGGAAAAAAATACAACCAAAAACAGCACAATATTTCCTACTCGTCATAAATAGGTAAGTATTCAATATGTGCTTGAACTGATTTTTAGGGAAAAAACGCATGGCTCTTTGGTGTCTGCGCCCCAGGTTTACCCCGGAATTGAGGCGCTAGCTATACCTACAGCTCGCATTTCATCCGTTTGTACCTATGAAGTTGGAATACTGTATGATATTATTACCGTGCTAATAAGAGTGAACATTTACTTACTCTTTCATATAATTATAATCAATTATCATTTTAGACATAGGTGCACACCTGTATAGTCTGCCTACGTAACCTGAATTAACTTGTGACGAAATAATTATTCAGATACTACGAGTACTTTGTCAGTTGTTACACGATAAACTCGTGGTGTTACAACTAATTTATCAATACAATTATCTTAGCCCTTGATCCTCGGTTACTATACCAGACAGTTAATAAGTAGATACCTACCTATTCTCAAATGCATTTCAAAATATTTTATCAGTTTATCGGAAACCTATCTAAAATACGTTAATTTGACAGCTGCAAACATGCTGCTGTTGATCGAGTGATGGTGATTTATTTGTACTTATTTAAGATTTTTTGAAACGTTGCCCCACACTGGTTTTCTCCTGTATCGTGGGTGCGTTTACAAACATACAAGTTCACATACACATGACACCCAGACCCGTAACAACAATCTGTGGATCTACAAAGAGTTGTTCCGCGCGGGAATCGAACCCCCGACACGTTGCGCGGCAGGCAGTTGCCCAACCACCGCACCAACCGTGCAGTCATTAAGTTAACAGCAGATTAAAGAATAGTTATCAAAATTATGAACTTTATAACTACCTCACAGAAAGAAGCTGTGTTACGCCGTGTCACGGCATATGAGTGAGGTCACTTATCAAAAGCCGGCAATGCACTTGCATTGTAACGACACTGGTGTTGCGAGTGTCCAATAAAAGTCCCATAATAGGGAGTTAACCTACCGCCATATACCTGAACCCGACACATTTCCAGGTATATCTATTCAATTCATATCTATTTGTATTGTAAGCAATCAGAAGCCTAACAGGTGTCGATAACTATAAACAGTAGTTAAACAAAATCAACAACACTAATCCAATATTTGAATTGCTGATAAAATCATATTTGTTTCTTCGAAGACTTAAGGAAATAATTAGTAAGTAGGTCACCAAACAATATACGAGCATTGCCCTGAAAATGGGCTTATCTGGGCTAATCAAATAATCTAGCCCTTATGAAACTATTGTCTTCAGTTTACTCGACAGTCTATCAATAACATTTGATGACTCCTCACTTAGTATAAATTACATTCTGATAAAATTAGTTCACTTATTACGAAATACTTTAATTTAAAAATATGTTTTGTTCACCTAAAATTGTGTTTTCGTTGGCTTTGGTATATTTTTGTGAAATAATTCATGCGGTTGAATACAATGAGTTGTATAGTCCTCATTCGGAATATACGTCTAATGACATACTAGAAGATGCACGTTTGGACACGGTAAGTAGATCACCATTGTCTGTAGCTCTCTACCCATCACCTTTTTTTCCGTTTCGTTTAAAACTGTTTCATTATTATTTGTTGCATGAATACTTGCAAAATCAGCAAAATAAAAGTTCAGTGATATTAATTAAGACTGAGTATCCGAGATGTCGAGATGAAGGATAATGTCAATTAGATTTCGCAAACAAATGGTTATACCTATCAAAACTTGTAGGCGACCATATCATCACTATTGAGCGAATGATCATAAATGACCATTATATCCTAGGTAATAAAATAGTTTCCTTATTCCATGACTATGAGGTCCTAACTAATCATTTTATAATAACCACTAATAAAAACAACTTTTGTTTTTGCCTCATAGGGATGACTCACGTTCAATAAACTTTCACAGCAATTTGGCAGCTCTAGACAATCCTCTGGGTCTTTATTTGCGTTGACTCACTGTTTTCTCCATAGTTCTCCCTGATACGGAAATATGGATACAACTGCGAAATCCATCGGGTGTATACAGAAGACAAGTATATACTGGAGATGCATCGTATACCAAGCAGTAAAGAGAATGCCCCAGTGGTATTTCTACAGCACGGTTTGCTGTCTTCCTCTGCTGAATGGGTGCTCATGACTCCTGGCCGTGGCCTTGGTATGGACTTTTTTATTGTAATAACCATATTAATTTTATTGAGAAAAATAATAAAGCATTTTTATCTTTTCTAAGAAAAAACGTCTCGAAATACCTGCCAATATCTCTCCACTTATTGTAATTTTGTTTTTGTTTCAGCATATATCTTAGCCGACGCTGGCTATGACGTATGGATGGGTAACGCACGAGGGAACACCTATTCTCGAAGGCACACATCTTTAAAACCTACATCTTCTGCCTTTTGGAAATTTAGTTGGCATGAAATAGGCTACTATGATCTTCCGGCAATGATAGACTACGTTCTTAAAGAGACCAAAGTTCCTAAGATCCAGTATATAGGTTTCTCTCAAGGCACAACTGTATTTTGGGTCCTTATGTCCACAAGGCCTGAATATAATGAAAAAGTTGCTGCAATGCAAGCCTTAGCACCCGTAGCATACATAGGAAATATTAAAAGTCCTCTCATCAAAGCTATTGCGCCTTTCACAAATTCTCTTGAGGTAAGTCTATGAGCTAAGGTTTTATGGAAATCCAAAAGACAACGTGAAAATCGGTCTTTTATCTAAAACTATTGTATTACCAAGACCAAATCGTTAAACTGCGAGGACAACATGTTTCGCTTTCGCCCTTCCTTGGCGACCCTCCTCGCCTCTCCGACCACCTTCCATCCGCCGCCGCTGGCAGGGGATCACCTGTATGGCTAGACACTTATTTATTTGTATAAAATGTTTAATTTCAGATCATACTTAAAATACTAGGAACTAATGAGATCCTACCGAATGGGAAGATAAATGAGCTGGCTGGACAAAAATTATGCCTAGAGGAAGCCATAACACAATCCATTTGTACAAACATTTTATTCCTCATTTGTGGATTTAACGCAGATCAATTAAATACCGTAAGTATTCTCTGTTACTGCCTAAATGTTCTCATCTACAGTAAACAGTAGACTTTATAAATAAAGGAGGATAAAAGACTGTTCCTATGTTATTTTTTTCGTCATAAAAGTTAATATAGCTTGTAATAAAAGTGCGTATTAATTCAATTTCCATTGTTATAGACGATGCTACCCGTAGTAATGGGCCACACGCCAGCAGGGGCATCGACGAGACAACTCATACATTTTGGCCAACTGTACAAATCAAACAAATTCGTACAATTCGACCATGGATGGCTCACCAACAAACGGATTTATGGGACTTTCAAACCGCCCGCTTACAACTTAGAAGCTATAAAATCTCCAGTATTTCTGCATTATGCTGACAACGATTGGCTATCAACACCAAAAGACGTTAAAAAGTTAGCTGCAAAAATCACATCCGTCGTTGGAACTTTCAGAGTACCGCTTGCAAAATTCAACCACCTAGACTTCGTTTTTGCAATAAACGCAACAGAATTAATTTACGACAGAGTCCTAAACATAATGTCGCAATTCAAAAACCAAACTTCGAACTAACACATTTTATTACGGGACTTATGACATACATACATACAAATACAATTTTTATCGTCATCGCCTTCTCTAGCATTTTCATTTCTGCCTTTTCTCCAGACCTGAAAAAAATAATAAATGTTTATAAATTTAAGTATAGGACAGAGCTATGTTTCGGCTCGATTGGGCCGGTTCGACCGGAATAATACCACGGCATCACAGAAAACTGACGTAAAACAATGCTTGCGTTGTGTTTCGCCATATTAGTGAGGTTACCGGGCGTGCAATTACCCCATCTCTAATCCTCTAATCCTCCAATCTCAAGCCCCCAAAAGGTCAGCAACACACTCGTAAATCCTTTGGTGTTCCAAATGTTCAAAGGCGGTGCCGACTGCTTTTCCCATAAAAACAATTGC